TTGCACAAAAAACCTCTGAAGCAACAATTTTCAAGAACTGCCGATTGTCGAACATACCCAAACCGCCGGGAATACGAACGATGGTGGCTGTGCAGAAAAAACAAGGAGCATGTGACCAAGGACATTGTTATCCCCCACTCCTCCCACATCCCGCAGGAGTCAAAAATGTGCTGAAACGCACGGCCCATTACAGGCACCACTGCCAAAAACAAGACGTCGAGACGTTTCATTGCTCCTGCTATACTTTGCTCCACTTCCACCCCCTGCCAATCTCCGACGTTTTGTTTTTGTGTGTTCTGGGTTTCGTGTGCGGGCTCGAACCCCTCTGAGACTACTGGACTGAAGTTGGCCTCCAGGGATGCATCGTTCGTCTCCTCTTCTTGGCCCCCGAAAGATTCCCACACCTGGCGAGCTTAGGCATCCTCTAGCTCTAAACAGAGCCTATCCCTGAAGCCCAACCAGAACTCCGAAAATATCGACAGTCCACGCCTACAGCTGCGAGGCGAAGCAACTCAATCGATGCTGCACACCACCACTGTCCTTGAAACTGTCGCGTCCCTCAACCCAAAGCCGCATCCTCCCACCAGCCGCCTTCACCCCTGCCAGCTCAGCAAAGTGCTCCAGGTGGAATTCGAAGCATGCGGCCTGTTCTCGAAAGTCGCTGTAAGTCGCTATGGCGACAGGGTGCAAGCAGGACAACCAATGTACTGTTGGCACGTTTTTGTGCTTTCAGCTGCGAGCAAGCTGTGCGCATGCAGGTCTGAACACATACTAAAAGGAAATACAAAACTCTCAACGTGGCATGGCCGTACACATAACCCTAGCAACTGCTCTTAGAGGCATCATTGATGAGACATGGAAAACTTGTCCGATAAGACATGAGAACTTGTCCGTAAGCAGGTCCCAATACATGCCAGAAGGCAGCGACTATGCTGCATGGGACTGTCCAAAACCCAACCTCCACATCCTCAGCATCATCACATCCCTCCACTTCCTGGCAGCAACATCTCGTGGATCGGGACTTTCAAATCTTTGCTCTGCCTGGAACTTAGGGCTCGAGGGGGGCCCCTGGGTCGCTTGGGTCTATTTTTTGGGTCTCGCTTGGCTTAATCAGTCTGAGACTGGTGTTTCTCTAGGAAAATACATATAACCACTTTAGGGTTTTGGGTTTAGGGTTCCGGATTTGGCCAAAACCTTAAAAACCTAGAGGTTTGTGTATGGTTTTCAGTGAAAGACAACATTGAACACTTAAGCGAGCCCGGAAATGACGACCTGACTCCTCGGTACTAGGTTTGAGAGTTCCATGGCACTGGGCTTGCAACAGCAGTCTTTGGTCTCAGCTCGCTGCAGAAACTTCCCACACTCGAGGCTTTGGTCCTTCTTCCTCGGGACCCTAAACCTTGTGTCTTAAAGCCTTCACTTCTGCAAACTTAGGCAGCTTCGACGCCAAAAGCCCTCAGTAGAGGCTGTTGACAAACGTCCTTTCGCATTCATATGCTCGAGTCTGTTTCAAGACTGTTTGTCGATCTTTAGGAAGCAGGTCACCCGAGCTCCCAGACAGATAAATCCCAACACGAGATCCCTCATCTTCTCTTCAACCTCAGAGCCAAAAAGCACTGCGAAACTCTGAACTCGGAAAGCCGTTGATAGACAGACAGCCTCTCAACCCTAAACCCAAAATACCTACAAGTACCCTTGAAGACGCCCAGAAAAAGCGTCCCACACCTTAAAAACAAAAGAGTCCCTCGCCTGGTGCTTCAACTGCGGCTCGGACTCGACGAAAGTCCACAGTAAAGGGGCAGTCGCCACCTCTGCGAAAGCTCTCTAAGCCGACAACTTCAGGACTAACACCATCGCAGCTATGAGGGCCTCGGTAGAAGAGCCAGATCTCAGGCGGTAGGTAGCTAGAAGTTTCTCACTTGGCTTAGCATGCGGCAGTATAGGGTTTGCCGAAAGGTGCTGCCGATGCTGGCACTACGATCACAGAGCAATAATCGAAGCGCCCAGTGGAAGTACGGCGACCACATTTCAGGGTGATTGCTCTGGTTGGCATGGTTTAGAATCAAGGGGATCCCGCACAGGGGGTGCAGCTCTGCCCAGATCAAACAACTCAGATGGAGTTGCAAGCCTACCGAGGCTTTGAACGACACGAACCTCTCGCGGCATCCAAAGCCCGTTCTATCCCCTCTACACACAAACTACACACAAAAGTAAGGCCTCAACAACAATCTCAAGCTCAAGCATTACGCTTCTATGTCTGAGGCCCGAGCCAATGCGAGCAACCCTAAACAGCGCGAAACAAGCATGGGGGATTGGGTGTTTTCGCTCCCCACGCCCCAAAGTAGTCTTGTGAGGCCTTCAAATTTGCTGCAATCCATTCGCGGACATGGTGAAGCCTCAGGCGCAAACGAAAACTAATTACTGCTTCCTGTTTGAAGGCTGGCTTCTCACAACTGTCCGAGTCTGTAGATCAACCCGGAATTTCATGTGAGCATATCTTGCACTGATGCTGCCCCGTACGCATCCACTTGCAGGTCACAGCCTGTCCCGGCCCGAGACTCCCACAGCGACGGCACTCCAAAGAAGGCAGCACAGTCCACGGCCACGCGCAGGTCTTCGGGCTTCGCCTTTCTTCTCCGATCTGGGTGGAGACTGCAGGACGAAGGGGCAGAGAAGGGGCAGAGACAGGCTGCGTGAAATCCATCAAGCCAAACTGAGAAGCGCTAAACCCAAGCCCTTTGCGCTTCAGACCTAAATGCATTCCTGAACCCCAGCCTGAAAATCTGGGCAGAAACCTCTGGCCACAAAATACGACTAGCCCAATTTCGCCCCCTCTACCATCAAGGCGAAATTGAAGATGCTTACACAAGACCGCACGGGACAGTTCACCGCAACCACTCAGATCCTCATACCAATAACCCTTCATCACACATGCCCTCATTTCAGAAACCCTGAAAGGATCTAAACCCGACACTCTCAACCCTACATGTGTTTAACTGCAAAGCCCGAAATCCTGCCTAAAGTCCAACTTCTTCAATACTTGTTTCTCGGCAGAGCACCACGAAGGTCCCTCCGTGGAGAAACTCGACAAGCCGCACCAGCTGGTCCTTGAGTAGTTTGCCATTTCCAAATCCCAGCTTTGAGCGCATGCAGTTCATGCGGGAATTCTGAAGCTGATACGCTGCAAACGTGAAACGTGGGGATTGGGGTGCTGGGTTCGGCTGGTTTGACCTTTTGGGTTGCCGGTCTGCCGCATCAAGAGTAGCGGAGCAGAGCCTTGCGATTTGGCCTGGCACTAGCGGCTCTCGAGGTCGAGTCTGTTTCGGACTTTTGGCCTCCATGCACTAACCCGTAAATCCGCAAACCCTTGGCCAAATCCTGAAGCCACCGACAAAGCGAACATGTGGGCGGCATAGAACCCGAAGCTTGGAACGTGCCGAAATCAGGCACCTTCCTCTTGTCATGCAATGGTTATGAACTCTTTGCTGACTTTGCATTGTTCTGAGAGCTCCTCCGAGAAATAAATTGGTCTCGAGTCTGGTTCGATCGCCGTGGACAAAAAACCAGCAACCGCCAGAGCAAACCTCCACTCTGCATGGGTGCCCCACCCGCGGCCAGTAAACGGTGACAGCGGACCCAGATTTGGCGAAGCCTGGGCAGAGCGACTGATGCCATACACCCTCAAATTGCAGTCCATTTGGCAATGATGGGTCAAATTCCCAAACGCGAGCTTCAACAGAGACTTTTTCGATACGGCTGGGCCAAAAGCTCGCACGGCTTGACCGTGCGGCTCCAAGGCACTCCGGCTCCTTGTCAGATGCTTGGGATCTGGGATCCTTCCGGCGACGGCAAGCCTCGCATCCCTGCCGGACCCAGCAGGCCGAAGCTCGGTGTGTTGCATCCTCAGCTCGGCGTTCGGGAAATGTTTCACCCTACTTTGGGAAGTTTGCTCTCATGTCTTTCCCCTTCAGGTCGCTGCAACGGGGGATGCATCTTTTTCCTTGTGGTAGCCATCTTGCATCGGGCCGCTTTGATGGAAGATGCCAGCTGACAGGGGAACCTGTCCAGCACAGCAAAGAGGTGTCGCCCTGCTGGTGTTGACATCTCTTGTGCCCTCAACGAATTGTGATAGAAAGCCAGCTTCAAAGCCGGCATGCCTTGGTGCAACGTCACCCTAGTCCCAGATGCCATGCTTCGGGCGAATTCAATCCCTCAAAGCTTAGGCAATAACCGGGTCGGTCGTCAGAATCAAGTGCTTGTGTAGCTCAGACTTTTCTAGACTCTGGAAGTGCACCATGTGATGACAACCCACGCCAAGAATGAAACAGCAAAGCTTGATGCTTTGCTTGTTTATGCCTGACGGTCAAGTCGCTTAGGGGGATCGGCGCCTCAAGTGAGACTCGGACGACCATCCGCACATCGCGCGCCCGAGCAACACGACATGACATTCTCGGGAAGCGGCCTGTCGTGCTGGAACAGGCTGGGCTCCGGGCCTCCGTCATGGCCAATAATTGCATCAACGGCTTGCTCCGCACCAGCTTACAGAGTGCATCTCGGCATCCGTCTGTCTCCACACCATCGAGAAACTTCTGAAATGAATAATAGATGAAGGTTTCCATCGGCTCAGACTCCAAGCACGGTGTCTCCTCCTTTGAAGACAAAGGTGTGTGATACCTGCTTTGGCCACGGTGCTCGCTGACACGGCTCTCGTGGCATAGGTGTCTCCAGCACGTAGCTGCGTCCGTCGAAACAAGCGATCTGTGCAGTGACTCCGACGGCATGTGGCACTGGAGCATTAGTGGCTTGTGCCGGCCGGTCGAAGGCAATGGACGCTGATAAAGGAAGACCCCCTTGAGCAAAAATGCAGCTCGTTTTTGCGAGAGATGTACAGAGCTACTGACAAGACGTCCCCGAAGTTGCGAGATTCACGTGTGCTAAAGCGCACAGCAAGCTCGCACACATGCTGCCAGGAAGTGCCAGACTTGCTGCAGCCAAGCGTCACTCGCCGAACGGAAAGCACTCATCCGGATCTCCCATGAAGGGGCACTTCAGCATGTACATCTCGGCAAACCTCAGCATTGGTCTAGCCCGCGCCGTTCCCCGACCCAGCCCCTCTGTCTCCCAGAGCAGTCGCTGCCTGCTTTGACAGTGTGCTCGAATGTCATGAGAGAAATTCGGCAGCACCTCCCAAATCAAACGAGGGATTCTTATTCGTTTTTGGAGTTCGCATCTGCCCTGCTTGAAATCTACGGCTTGCTGTTCGACGATGTAGCACCGAAGTCGATTCGGAAAGAGAATTAACCATCAACCCTCCCATGCCCGGTGAATCCATGCCAAGCCAAACTATGTCTGTCTGAGGAACAATGCCCTTCTAAACTCTAAACTCTGCTCAAATTGCTCTGAAATCCAGGTGGATGCAAAACCTGGTGGCATACTATATCAATGCAAAAACATTCACACTCATCAAAAACAACACGTTTTGTCCGAGGCAGCGAATGTAGCTCAAATGCTATGCGGGGGGGTCTCACGCTGAGACATGCGAAGTGCAAACGAGCCGGCCTGCTGCCAGTTGTTCAAGTACATGTACGACCATGCAAGGTTGAGGATGATCGCCAGCGTGTTCCTGGGGGTATCTCAAGGGTGGTATTGCCTAGATCTGCTAGTGCTGCTTCTGCAGGCAGGATAGCAGCCGAAGGCACCCAAGAAATCCAAAGCCCCTGACATTCAAGTCGCCGTTGGTTGAAACACGAAATCCAGCAATCCCCGACCCCTGGATCCCTGATAAGGAGGCGAGGGTCAGGAGAAGCGACATGCTGGATTCATTCCTTGGCACAACCAAGGGAGCTCGTGGTCTCGTTGAGACTGAGGCGTGGGTTCATGGTGCATGCTATTCCACCTCCCCACTAAGCCTGGCAACACCCAATACTAGCAATGCCAAAGGTGGTGGACCTTGACTGCAGGCGAATTGTGACCGGCAATGGCTTGCACAGTCAGCCATCAGGGTCTGATGGCCCCACTGTGGTCACGGACAATGACAGAGCCTCCCTTGCATGACTTACATGTACTGCGGCTCACTGCACGGTTTAAAGCCTCTGATGCACTGATTCTAGCCGCGCTTCCGACTGTTTGGAGCCGGAGGAAGATCCCCAGCCCGTCTCAAGCAGGGACCCGGAGTCTTATCCTCAGCCTTGATGCTTTAGCTTAGGGCCCAACGCCTAAATTCAGGCCAAGGTTCTGGATGCCCGTTTCGCCCTGAAGGCAGGAAGGAGCCCACCGGATGCATGGGAGGACTTGAAAACAACGCCGAAGATAGTGTTCGGTGCACAGTAACGATGTCGACACTGCAAATCAAGTTATCCGCATAGCTCATCTGTTTGCCATCTCGCCTCTCTGGGGTATGCAATCTTTGTCTGCTCCATGAAGCTACCTTGCTGCGCACCGCGATAAGCAGCTAACCACGATCGGTACCGGTTGCCTGCTTTCCCCAACCGCAGACCCACTGTCTTGTGCGAGCTGAGTAGTGGCTAACAAGTGATCAGGAAGTGAAGGGTCCTTACTTCCGGATTTGGCAAACAATGTGCTGCCGCGATCTTAGCATATGAGAGTTGTCATCGAAGCTGCCCGAAGGGAACAGAGATTCGGGCTTAGACTTTATCTCTGCCAGGCAGGTTGCGAGTCTGCTCGGGCGTGAATGCCTCGAACATGAGTTCGTCGATGCCGATCACCTGCACCATGGCCCAACCGTCGTGCTTCCTTCAGGTCAGCACAAGCTGCCCCAAACTTGAGTAGGAATTGTCACTCCCTTCGCCTGTGTGGGCTCGCGCCGAACGAAGCACGTACATGTGCTGTACAAACAATGCGACTCCAAGGGTAAAGACAGCACAGTGAATCTGCAGACTGTGGCACACTAGTGCTTGTTGTGGTGTGGAGTGGCGTAGGGGCTCGAGCTTTCATCTTGAGACCTTCAAGGCTTGTGGCTGAAGTCTTTGCGGGATTTGGTCCAAGCTCGCTTCGACGGAGCTTGCTCTATCTTCACGGTCTCTGCATGTCACAGGTGGTTTGGAGGACCCTTCGGGTGCATACACCACCTATGTGGCCGCCTGGTTGCGAGACATCCGGGATCAAGACTTGGAACGGGCAGCATGTGAAGCAGAGAGCCGTAGAAGCAAAAATAGCGTACACATTCGCTTTGCGTCGAAACTGCACTTGTCGCTGGAATTCTTGTGGGCTTCCACCATATACCCGAACCTTCTGTGACCTTTGCTGACCAGGGACAAATTCCAGAGCCAGTGCGTTTAGGATGAGATCCTCGGTGCAGCACTTCCCTGGATTTGCGAGCTCTTATTCCCAGGAATCTGAATTGCAGAACCAGCAAAATTCGTCAATCACTATGAATTATTTTTGGTCTTGGTGAGGTTGGAGGTTGCAACTTGGGCAACCTCCCTGAGCCGTGACAGGAAAAATTGATATCCGTCCGTCCGCACGCAGCACCCCAATGCCTCAACCGGACAAACACCACAGTCACAAATACCAAACCCCAACCTCTACAAACTTCCACTTTATGACGCATGCAACACCTTGAAGCCCACACCCAGAAAGCAGTCAAGAAGTGACAGGGGACCCCAAAGGATTGGGTGGCGGCCAGCCAGCGGCAGCCACTGAGCATGAGAATGAAAGCCACTCCAATCCTTGGATTTGAAAGCTGAGCTTCTGGTGATTCTGGTGATTCGAGTATGACAGCTGGAGCCATGAGCCTCCATCAGACGTGTCTACAAGCTTCGAAGGCTCTAGAAAGCACGTCTTATCAGATCATTGGAACCCGCTGAGTTGCTGCTCTACTGACCTCATGAAACCCCGGGCTGCGATGAACCAGTGCCATTTATGCAGGCTCAGCAGGCAGAGAGCTCGTGGCTCTTATCCCCATGCTGGGGATTGGTTGAATGGCTTGCAAGCTATCCGAGGAGCTTTGGCAGAGCGATCAGGACGGTCAGCATGATCCGCACCATTCGGTTCAGAGCCAATATCTCGAAGCCTGACTTGAAAGCCCGCAGGATGACATCTTGAATCCAACATCTGAGAAGAAGGGAAAAGGCACAAGCAAGCAAGAACGAATTGTCTACGAACCAGGGCTTAGAAAGCCTGGCTGGCGTCAGTATGCGAGTCGGAACATGGTGCAACGGTTCCTCAGAGCACAGGACTGGTTTCTGGAAGCCATAACCTGCTGCTCACAAGTGTCGGCACGATCCAATACCACCAAACGCAAAAGGCACCGGTCGACAGCAAAGAGTCTCAACACCCTATCTGGAATCTGAACTTGTTTGGGACTAGAATATCGGAAGCCAGCCTTCACAACGGAGGAAAGCTCCTTAAAAAGAAATCTACCAGGAAATCGTGCGTGAGGGGGGCGCTCGATCTCGTCACCATCTTTGACCTGACAAGGCAACGACACGGATCTCCGAAAACCGCATTTGCCCACGAGTCGACAAAGTAGAGCGGACAAAGGTTGTAATGGACCTCACAGTAATTGAGAGTGGGTCTCGGGGTTCAATACCCAAGAATCCTGCACAGTCAATGGTTCCCCCTTGTTCAGAGCACCCCCGAGACACGGCAAGCCCTTTCGCCGTTGCCACACCCTCAGAACCCCATGCCACCCGAATCCAGCATCTGCCTAAGCCTTCATCGTGCGGCCTGGTACACCATCTGCTTTGCAGTCGCAGATAGTGGCAGCTGAGGAATGCAATAAAGGTCGTGCATTAGGTGGAGCGACTGCTTCACCTGGCAGAAGGTCGTTCAAAGTGTTGGTTTTCAAAAATCAAGCGTGCGAGTCCTTCAGCCTGAATCACGCTACACAGCAAGAAATTCACGTTTGGCCCCTGCCGGATTCTGAAAAACTCCCAAAATGGCGGAAACTGAAAAGACCTAACCCTCTCACCGGCTTATAAAGCCGTCATAATACCACCTCAATCCCTGAAGTGACACGTCTCATCGATCGGAAATGGAGCTTCAGCTTAAAGCTTGCAGCATGAAGTCCTAAAAAACAAGCCTCTAACTGACTTAAGGCTTTCAATCAGGTTTACAGCCTGAAACCCTTAAACATGCCCGATAACTATGCCTCTCGCCGGCTTCAGCCTTCAGTATTGAGCACCAAGCCGCAAAACTAAGCCTCTCATCAGGTTTATGGCCTCAGACTTTGTAAAATTGGAAACTTCACACGTTGACCTGATTGGAGAGTGCTGGGATCAGGCTGCTGGGCTTCCAGCTTTTTGGCGTCTCCACCACAAACGCTTTCGCACTCCTTCGACCCCGTGTGAAGCTCCACCATCGAATCCCATCCTAGCCATCCCAAGCTCGAAACACACCAATGCTCCGTGTCCTCAGCCACCAAATTGTAAACTCCCAAGTTTCACCCAGAAATCGGCTTCGGGCCTCGGCGAGCATCCGTGCGGTCCATAGGAAGACGATGCCACACTGAGTTGCATCGTGCTGGAGAGAGGTCGGGCAAGGCTGCCGAGATTATGAGGTCTGAGGGTTGAGAGAGCAGATTTCGGGCAAAGTGTGAATTGAAGAATTCGCAGCTTCGCCGATTCGCTTGACGATTACAGAAGCAGGGTGGTCAAGCATGGCAAGAGAAACACCGCTTGCATTCAGAGCCAGCATCGAAAATCGAGAACAACGCTTTCGGGTTCATAAACTGTTCTGGCTTCAGCTGTTGGGCCGGAGCATTGGATGAGATTTCAGGCCGTTTAGTGCTGAGGGCTCATCTGAGGCTGAGCGCTTGTTCTGGGTGGTCTCGGGCCTGTTGGTTTGAGCGTGCTGAAGCTTGCCGAGTGCCAAATCCTGCAATTATGTGGGAGCCTCCAATGAGAAGTGCGAATCATGAATGATTTACTCCTGCCTCTCGAACCTTCAACCATACCCGAATGGAATCAGGGGTCTTATTGCAATCTCCATGCAGAGTGGATTCGGCGGTCAAATTCACCCAAATCCATCTGTTCCGAATCTTCCACGGTGATCTCCAAGAAGTCAACCATACCCGAATGGAATTAGGGGTCTTATTGCAATCTCCACGCAGAATGGATTCGGAGGTCAAATTCACCCAAACCCATCCGTTCCGAATCTTCCACGGTGATCTCCAAGAAGTCAACCATACCCGAATGGAATTAGGAGTCTTTTTGCAATCTCCACGCAGAATGCATTCGGCGGTCAAATTCACTCAAATCCATCTGTCACGGACTTGCGACAGTGATATCTAGCCAGTCAGCCATGCATTCCGCATGGGCCTCTTTATGCTTAACAGCAGGGGCGCCTGCAGAGCCTTGACTCGTGAGCCACCGACGACCCCGGCGGTCGTGCAAAACATTCGAGTGCTGTGTGTGCTTAGTTGTGATTGAGTCTGAGCCCTTTTACGTTTTCGCTGTGCTAACCCTCCTGCATTTGCTGCATTGGCAGCGGAGCACAAGCTCCAGGCAGGGACCTCGGAACTGTCCGGAAGCAGCCTTGTGGACGTGCCCCTGAGGAACACGATTCTCTTCTACCTGGGCACGGTCCGCGCCTTGGCCTGCTACGACCTCACGGCGGTTTCTCCGTTTTGTCCGGCAAGTTTCTCAAGGCACACCCGTGCACAAGCGCAGACATTGCGCGTCGAAGCTCCTGAGCCGACTGTCTGGTCCGGCGCGAACCTTGGCGATGAGTTGGAATCGCATGTCATTTGACCAGCCAGGTGGAACGAAGCACCACCTCCAGAAGCTTGCAGCCTCACCCCTTGTCCATAAGACATTTCCAAATCCAGCTGCCAAAGGCTCTCAATATTTCTCTTTCCAACGACGACATGGTGAGAACATATCGAGCTTCCTCGTCGTGCACGAGGAATTCAGCGAGGCTATCATCCGCCTCCACAAGGACAAGCTTGGAGTGGGCCAGGAGAAGCGCGACTTCGGACTCCCTTCGGCTGATGCCGAGGATTGGTCTTCTGGCGGTTGGTCCTGGTGGGATGAAGGAGACTGTGGCGAGGATGAGCCTCGTGAAGACGAGGCAGATGCTAAACGTGAGCCTCCGACAGGCAGGGCTGCAGAGACTGCTGAGGATGGTGATGAGGCAGCAGCTGCTACAGGACCGCCGCGGGCTACAACCAGATCGTCTTCGAGACGACCTCCTTCTCTACCAGGCGATGGGTCACATGCTGGACGACCTCCTTCTCTACGAGGCGACGGAGCTCTGACTAGGCCGATTGTGTCGTCGATCTACGAACTGAGCCTTGCCGATAGCTTCATACTTGCAGTTTTGCGAGGATGGAGATTGTTGCAAGCAGTAGGACTCAACACGGAGGAGAAGAGGGACATCCTGAGCACCACAAAGAACAGGTTGGATTACGAGACGATCGCGGCGGCATTACAGAACCTGTGGGACGAGCAGCTTCTTGGACACCAGCCTCACCACTCCGGCTCCTACCAGAACTTCATGGCCTACCAGGCGAGATGGACGTCTACTGCCACGAGGGTGATGATGACTGGTGGAATCAAGACGGTTGGGATGACCTCGCCTATGCCGCGGACCACTACGATGATGGAGGACGGTGGCCCGAGTCTCAGCCGCACGTCCTGCAAGCTGCTGAGCATCCTCCGGATCCGCCTGATGACGAGAAGCTTCGGGAAGCCCAGGCAGCTGAAAGAGTTGCCGAATCTCTGGCAGCAGAGGCCAATCGGTCCTGGACCGAAACGCAACGAGCAACTCAGCTCTTGCGTAAGGATCGTGGCTTTGGCACGTTTGCTCCCTCAAACTTTTTCACCTCCACCTCGTTGCTTCAATTGCAGCGGTCCACACATGGGCGATTGTCCTTCCAATCGGGGCCTTTCCTTTGGAAAGGGGAAGTGCAAGTTCAAGGGCTATGCCACCGAGATGGACGTCTCCTTTGCCAACTATGTGAACAAGGGCAAGGGCAAGTCTAAAGGCAAGCGCAACATGTGGATGGACATGCAAGCTACGTGGAAGGGCAAGAGCATCCGAGCAGGTCTGTCAATGCCTATGCTGCTACGCTGTTGACCCTCGCTTGACTTGAATGCTTCCAACACTACGCCATCCAAGGATTCTTCTTCGAAGTAAGGAATGTTGAACTCCGGAGCCACGGCTTCAGCGAGCGGTTGTACAGAGTTTGGTAGAAGCGGTACTTAGCCGCGACCCTCAGGCCACCATCGACGTCGATCAGTCTGTGAGGCCATATACTTTCGCTTCGGCAACTCTCGCTGGGGACGTGCTGTTTGCAGAGGTTGTTTGTCGAGTACAGTTTCGGGTTCACGCCAACACTTCAGTCTCTACATGCTACCGAATCCGACAGAGTACTATCAGAACAACTTTGATCGAAACGAGTTGGTGCCCGTTTTGCTAGGTATGGATTTCCTTGGACCCTCTGGCGTTGGGATGATCCTTGACTTTTCTTCAGGTCTCGCTATGAACACAGGTGACACCAACCCTACCATCTACAAGCTGAGCCCCAACCACAAAGGGCACTACGTCATTGACATTGTTGAACGTGAAACTAAAGGATGCAGTGGCAGCGATGGTCATGCCAAAGTCGTCGTGAATTCCGGTTTGTGTCCCACGAGTCCATTTCACGATCATCAGATGCTGGAGTTAGGGACTGCCACACGGTTTGACATGACAGCGTGTGACCGTCAGCTAGATGAGCAGGCAGAGCAGCTTTCATGCGAGCGTATTTGGAGAGTTTATGAGGCATCGCGGGCAACACTTCAGCCGGCAGCATTTCAAGCTCAGGCCTCGATGCGTCATCATTGCTGCAACAAGCCCCCCGGTCAACTTTCTCTCCGTGCTCTTTTCACGGCAGGTGAAGCACTTGCACCCCGAGATCAACCAGCTGCTGAATCAGGCGGCTCGCGCCAAGGCGAAGGCCAAGGCGAAACCAGTGGATCTCAGCCGAGTTCAAAAGATGGATCCACGACACCCGAGGGCGATGCCAAGTCAGTGGCCTTGCATCGGGACGAATTGCATTTGCGGAGTCCATCTACTCTACACACCACGTGCGGGGTCGACAGGCCAGCACACGCAGTGCTTCTCCCCGGAGACGGTGGCTCGGTGCTTGCGCGAGCTCCAGTAGCTCACGCGAGGGTTGGATGTTGATTGAAGTCATTGTTCATGCCACGCAGCCCAAGATCGACGCCGAGGAGACGCTCAACAATCTGATTGCCGACCACCTGGGAGCGGCACCATCGATATGGACCGCACCATCGATATGGACCGCTGTGCCGCCGACACCCAAACCAGACTGGGTTTCAGGCAGTCGGCCTCGAGGAGGCCTACGCAGCTCTGGACGACTTCTCCGTGGCTTACACGATCCAAGGGCCAGGGCGGCCAGAACTTCTAAATCAAAGAGCACTTCCTACGACCTCCACGGCTGCTCTAAATTTACGCGTCGCTCAGAAGCTCATGTCCTTGGGTGCGATGATGACGGCTGCTACTGCATGGATGTTGACCTATTTTTCACTTGAGTGACCGTGATGGCCTGTGGGTATTTCACGCACTCCCCACAGCTGGCTCGACAACCGAGTGTGGCCTTCGCCCAAAGTGCATCAACCTCTTCGCGGGCTACGACCTCTACAAGTCGGACTCGTGGGACCGCCTACTAGATCTACGACGGCAACGGCGCCCGACGCGATTGCGGTTCTCACTACCGGGGACCAAGCGGTGTGCGTGGAACGTTCTGGACTACAACACCGATGAACGACAAGGGCGCCTGAACGAGGCCAGGCGCAAGGAGCGACGTCTTCTGTGGAACGTGAATCAATTCATCAAGGAAGCTCTGACCGAGGACGACACCACGGAGATCGACTTTGAATGGCCTCACCCCGTCCAAGGATGGCATCAACAGCCCATGGTGGACTTGGCGGATTGCTTGGATCAGAATAAGTGTTTTCCTTGGTTACCACGCCGACTGGATGGCTGCAACTATGGTTTGCAGGACGATACGGACTACAAGTTCATCAAGAAGCAGCGGCTTATCCGCACACCCTAGTGACTCATAGTGAAGCCTTCCACAACAACTTCCGCGCGAAGACTTGCCCTGGAAACCATGGAACTCACAGCACCATCGACTCACCAAGGGCAACAAAGAGTCTACTACCCCTGAAAAAACAGACAAAGCATTTGTCCTACATTGGCCGGATTTCCATGCTCCTCGCAAGACTCTTTGACTGTTGGAAGGTGAGAACACCATCCACGAGGACGGCGAGGATGAACCGGAGGCGGATGGCTTCTACCTTTCAGAGTCCGCCACAGAAGCAGCTCTCCTTGGATTAACATCATCTTCAACCGCTCAGGGAGCTCTCGCTGGATTAACCTCGTCTTCAACCGCTCAGGGTCCTTTTTGCAAGTATGACTACTAAACCACAGCGGATCAGTACGTGGCCCAGGACATCTAAACGGTGTCTGCTCTTGAACATGCATTGTCTCTGGTTCCCCATGGCCACTCTGTCAACAATCATTCCAGATGGCAAGATGGCACAGGTCTGGTTCTCGTGCTTGGCGCTTGCTCCCATGGAAAGTTCAGTGGGATCAGCAAAATCACTGGATGGTATATGCGAAGCTTGTCCACTATGTGAACTGTGTCCTGAAACATCAACTACCACCTCATGCCACACCGGCCAGTTTGATGATGTCTTCTTTCAATAGGCCAGCTCTACCTCACCGAGACGTTCACAATTCACAACGCAAAGGGGTCCACAAATCATTTGATGTGTCTGGGCGACTACTCGGACGGTGATCTGTGGATAGCTCTCTCGCCTCCTGAGAATCAACCTGTGGTTCGACGATGGGTGTATGGACAACTTGTCAATGGCTCTGTGCTTCCTACGAAAGGTCGCGGTGACCTTCGATCCTCACGTGTGGCATTCATGAAAAACAAGGTCTGGCTGGCGAGTGGCCATCTCGGCCTACACCACCCGGATGGCTTCGCAACTGAATGGCAGTGACCGCCCTGAACTTCATCGACTACAATTTCCAAGTCCCTCGAAGGGAGACGACGGCCCTGGGTGGAAGGATCTGTCAACGGTTCAAGAGGCGCCGATGGAGGCCGAGACGCTATCAGAGGGTGTGACCAAAGAAGAATTTTCCAGAAGGCAGGCCAACGTGAGCAAGTCTCACAAGGCAGCAGGGCATCCCTCTAACCGCAACACTGGTGAGGATCGTCACTGATGCTGGAGATCCGCCGTGGAAGGTGCAAGTGGCGGGCAATCATCATATCATTGTCCTGCACCTGGACAAATTCCTCCTGCTAGCGCACACCTTTCGATATGAAGCCTGGCAGGCTGTCGCCATTGATTCTGCAGAGTGGGCACCGCCCAAAATGAAGCAGAAGGTGAAGTTTTTGGTCTTCATGGATGCGGCGACCAAGCTGAGAGTTGCACAGCCCTTGTATGTGCTGGACTTCTTACAGATGCGACAGGAGTCTGGCAAGCTTTCCCAAACCCCAATTCGTGCTGATGGATGCCACGAAGAGTTTTACGTCAGAACCTGTCCGCGAAATTTTTCAGTGATGTGAACATGTTGACGCACTTTGTCGCAGAGAAGGAAGCTTGGTCTCATGGAACTGTGAAGGCAGCTGTTCAGCATGTGAAACAAAGTGCCTCAGCAATCTTCTTGGACGATCGCTCACTTCCTCTCAAGGTGGCACTACAACTGGCTGCGCCATCTCTGAACTCCACCAAGTACACGGCCGGGTTCTCATCTTTCCAATGGGCATACGGCACTGCCTATCGCATTACCGATAAGGATGTGATGACCTACCAAACGGTACAACCAAGCACTGACTTTGCCAAAAAGGTCACAGCTCCGCAACGGGCTGAGGAGATCGCGAGGTCTACGCGAGCGCGAGTGCTTGGCAACCTTCAGAACACAGCAGTGCGACAGCTCTTGAGAACATTTTCCCCATCGACGAGTTTGGCCCGCCGAGCAACCTCGAGGACCCCATGGTGGTTTCAACAAAGCCGGCAAGCCTCACTGGATCGGCCCTGGACGGGTTGTCTTTTCTGAAGTTCTACCTCATCAAAAAGATTTGGAAGATGAGCGTCGTCACCTTGTTTGGGCGGTGCTCATCGGGAACTACGGCGCTCTGTTCACTCTGTCAGACCAGTGACTGAGGATGAGCGGTTTGTCTATGAGACCACCGCGCAGAAGAGCCCTTCGCAGCGGAAGTCGCTGGCTGATGCACTCCCCCGGAAGGAGAAACCTACTTGGACATCACGGACCAGGTCCGGGATGAGTCGCAAGTGCAGCTACCTTCGCTTCCCACGCAACCTGATGGGAGTACTATTGCGCTGCCAACACGTCGACTGCGACAGAAGGTGACCTTCAAGCCTGGCGACTTGGCGACCGACTTCAACAAGCCGAGGAGTTTGCCGTGAACGACGACTATACTATAGTGAGGCGAACGAGCCTGCGACGTCATCTACTACAAGAGTTCTGGCAATGAGGATGCTGCGGAGTCCCAACCCGCCAAGAAGGCGAAAACTGACTATGACCACAAGTGGGCGGAAGAGCTGGAGGCTGGTGCTGCTGAAGAAGCTCGTGATGCTGACTTGCTCACTGTCATGGAGTATGTGAACGAACTTCTCAAAGTGGAGTTCGAGCTTCCCGCACCCCAGTCCAATCGTCAGCGGAAGTTTCTTGTGAGGAACCCTGTTGCGTACATGGTCAAGAAGATGCGGGATGCTGCGGTGAGTCTCAGCCGACTTTCACCACAAGAAAGGGCACTGTTTGATGGCTCCAAATCCAAAGAAGTCCGTTCCTTTGTGGCCAATGAGGCTGTGAAGGTGTCTTGATTAAAATGAAGTTAACAAAGCCTACACTTCAGGCACGATTGTTCGAGCACGATGGGTTCTCACATGGAAGCTGACGCCCCCCGAGGACTTGAAAGAGGCCACGAACGACGCCAAGGTGAACGTCGACAAGACGCTCTGGCCAAAGCACGAGTGGTCCTGCAGGACTCGAACCCTCTTTGCTGGACCCGAACTTCAAAAATTCGAGTCCACTCTGGTCTTGTGTGTCATGTCCGTTCAGAACCAGTGGGATCTGGAAAGACTGGACTTGGAGACTGCATTCCTCCAAACCTTGCCCACTGAAGCTGACCGGGAGCTGTGGACATCAGGAGTACAAGAGCTGCGAGATGCTCTTGACGTGGGCGAAGAAGGGATCACGCGGATCTTGAAGAACATCTACGGCTCCACGACTGCTGCTCGTGGCCTTTGGCTGTCTTTGCATAAGACGTTAACTGAGCTTGGCGGTGTTCCGATTCTTGGTGAAAGATGCCTCTGGGTTTGGTTTTCCAAAGTCGAAGTTGATCGTGGTCGTGGCCTTCCTAAGCTCCCGGGCGCTATGGGTTGCCGCGTTGATGATTTTCACCGGCTTGGCCACAAGGCCAGTGGTGAGTGGGTGGCCTTCCGAGAGCAAATCGACAGCGCCTGCAAGTCGGGAATGGTCACGACCAAGGCCTGCCGTCACGCAGGCATGGACATTGAGACTACCAAGGACGCCAACAGCTACGACAAGATCGTCATCAACCAGGACTACTACGTGGAGTCGCTCATTGCTGTCGAGATCGAGCCGGAACGTCTACGTCAGGATGGCCTCCTGACCCAACGAGAAATTGGTGCCTGCAGCCTGCAGATCGAGGCTCCTTGGGCGCGCTGCGGTGGCTGGCAGTGCACAAGCAACCGCAGTTGTGCAGCCGATGCAATCTTCTTCTTACAGAAGTAGTAAAGGCCATGATCAGCGAAGTTCGTCGTGAACCAGCCCGTCTCGAGTACTTCAAACTGCCTACAGTCAAGCACTGGACGGAACTGGTCTTCATCTCTACGGGTGAGCAGCTTCTGACTTTGGTGGCTGGACCAGAGGCTACTGGTGGGGCAGGTTTGCCCAATGATGCTTCTGGGATGGCGGACATGGAAGCGAAAACGCAAGGCCGTCGGCTCGAACGGCGCCGAAGTGCAGTCGATCCTGGAGGCTGAAGGTCAGAACTTCCGAATCCGTCTTCCGTGGACGGAACTCCACGGTGGCGGAGGTGTTCGTCAACCTCGTGATGATCAGGTCGAAAAGGCCGAGGCCCAAACTTTGATGTTGAAGGCAGCCGTGGAGGATATGATGCCGTTGAAGTGAATGAGAGCCCCTTACTGGGTCTGTCAAACATGAGATCTGCACTGCAGGCCTTCCAGTTGAGAGCCAACCTGGAGCGAGTCGCCTGCGAACCACGATGGCTGCTCGGACTACGACTTGGCGGACGCCTTGACCAAGAAGCGTGCAGACTCGCGGATCGGCCTGCTCAAGTTCCTACGGACCTATGTGGTCAACTGCCTTCGATCCCACCTTCACAAACTCTCGCAAGAACAAGCAGAAGGGCCGTTCCGCTGCGGGTCAGATTGACGACCACTTGCGACAAAGTGACACTGCTCATAACCCTGCATGGCTTCATTTTGTTTTGGGCTGGTGCAACAGTGATATCTAGCCAGTCAGCCATGCATTCCGTATGGGCCTCTTTATGCTTAACAGCAGGGGCCCCTTGTAGAACTTTGACTCGTGAGCCACGGACGACCCCGGCCGTCGTGCAAAACATTCGAGTGCTGTGCGTGCTTAGTTGTGATCGAGTCTGAACCTTTTTACGTCTTCGCTGTGTGAATCCTGCTGCAGAATCTTCCACGGTGATCTCTAAGAAGTCAGCCAGGTTCAGCCGATGCGGCGCAAGACATGTCCTGCAAAAACAGATTTTCCTAATCGGGTGCCCCCCACGATGGCTTAGATGGGCCGCCGAAACTTCGCCTGGCCATCAGGGCAGCGTCTTGCTGCTGTGGCTTGTTGCTTTGGTCCTACCCGTCCCACTGAGTTCACACGCCCACTATGCAAGTTAAAGCCTTCTGTTCCCACCCACTCCAAACCTGAAGGCCTAACAACTGAATAGCCTGCAGCGTCATCAGTAACGACCATGCTGGGCCTAGAAACCACAAGCTACAAATCAACTTGAACGGACCAAAGCAAATGGTCTGCGGCAGGTTCATGGACGCGGGCATCCTAATCACTGAAAGCCCGCAAGCAAAGCCCAGAGGCAGAGAAGTACAGCTTGCTGACTGCCTCAGCGACGAAGCCCCGATGAGATTTCAATCCAAGCAGGGATAATCCTAAAGAAGTGACTTTGCGTTGGACTGCAGGGTTGAAACGGTTGAAAGTATCCAGAGAAGTTCAGTCACGCTTGAAAACACAGCGCCTGAGTCCATTGATCCACGACCCCAACTTCAAAACTGAAACTTGATTTAAAAGGTCTCAGTCCTGGATGCTCCGTGTGCAAGCACACTAAGGCGGCGGCCATATTGCAAAGGGCTGCGTACTTGTCCGTGTCATAGGTTTGCCACACGTCATGCAAGAAATTGCCATCCTCAGTCAGTCACTCAAGAAAATGACATCCGGATCTCGCGAATGGGGCTGCCTTCCCGAAACAATTCAACTCTAGACCTTCACAATTGAATGTTGAATTCTGGGAGTTCCAAGCTTAGGGCTGAGGTGTCCCTTTTTCACGGAGATTGGGAGTGAAGGGCCAGCAGTGGTTTGATCCAAGTATCCTCATCGAAAACCTTTCTGTGGAATTCGGCGTAGTTTTCCTGTCAGGCAAGCCACTGTTTGTCAGTTGCATGCTACCTGCTACGGTTTTCGCTGACCCTTTTCGCTGCACCTCTTCCTCGAAGCACAGGGACCTAAACTGCCTCCTCTACAGACGGTACAGACTTGGGCGCACGCTACGGCTACGGGCAAATACAGAACACGACACAAAAGGAGAGCTGAACCTAACAGCAGAGATCCCCAGCACGTGCCTGCGCTTCGTGAACTGCACCCTGCCTAGGGCATCAAGGAAAAGCACTTCTCAACGAAGGGGTCAAAGCTCGGTTTTGGCTCTGCAAGATTCAAGACGTTCGACTTTCCTTTTTTCTGGAGAACCCGCACCCCAACCAGTCCCCAATCGGTCTGATGAGAGCTGGACATGCACAGGGATTTTGAACTCAACTTCGGCAGGACTGCAAAGCACGCCGAAAAAAACACACCACAGCATAATCCCCTTGACTTTGAAAACTTTGTGTGAAACTTCAGCCCGTCCTTGCATCTTCTTCGTGCAAGCAAGATGCACAATGTAGTGGTTCACCTCGATTAGGACTGTGGGTTCAGGGCTTGGTGAAGCTTCGTACATCTGCTGTCTAGGGCGGCTTGAGGCCAGCTTCTGGATTCTAGCCGATTCTAGCCCAAAACACGACCACAACGCATCACTACACCACAATCACCCACAACACGCAACATGCCAAAGCTCAACCACAACAGCACCACAACAATCAAAAACTTTGAATATTCTTAAAGAACGCAACCCAAACAAACGGACAAGCAGTGCGGGATTTGTGGCTCCATATACGGCAAGACAAATTTACGCCTTTTGTCCCTCACTTTGAAGGGTTCGGAGCTCGGTAGGCAGTGCCAGCGACTTCGAGGAGAAGGCCGCTCATGCCCAGCTTCTGGACCTCGATCAAGCCGGTGAAGGCCGGATAGGGCGGAGCCGGGAAGAATTCTTTTTTCACCTTGAAGAACGCTGCCTCGTGCTTGTCCATGTCCACATGGAAAGTCTTCACCTCCACCAAATCTCCCGGCACTGAGAAGCCCGCCTCGCGGCAAAGCGCGAAGAGCTTCTCAAAAGCCAGCCGAAACTGGGCCTCTGGGTCTTCAACGACGCCGCTATCCCCCACGCCCACCTGGCCCGCTACGAACAAGAACGGGCCGCAAGTCACCGCCGGCGAATATCCTAGGCCTTCGAATTTCTCCTGCTTCCCCGGCGGGAAAACAGCTCGCCCCGACTCCATTGTCCTAGCGACGCAACTAAACCCTCAATATGACAATAAAGCTTCCAAAGCCGACCAATGCATACATACTGCTGGGATGCCGCTACACCGGCTGAAAGCACAACGGCTGTGGTGTGCAACGACTCGTTTCAGAGCAATGTGCGGAGGCATACAGCAAACATGAGTCACCTTCAGACGGTGACTGGTAATCTCAAAACTCGCAAGTGAGCACTATCTTGGATGACTAAAGCGCTTGGTCATCAGAATTTGTCTCGACATCTCTGGAGTTCGGTGCTTATGGGTCTCCGGTTGCGGCCTTAGCGCTTCAGGCTGAGCAATCTCAACTCTTAACTTCTACCCAAACCCAAAGTCGACAACTCCTCAAATTCTGCAAATTTCCAAACCCACAATCTTCAAGAGCCCTGCAACCCTGAACTCTCCTTCGTGAGCCCTGAACCCCAAAATCCCTAACATGCTTCTGCGAACCAAGCAACATAGTACAGGATTAGTCCTTGAAGCCACCTGGAATCTTTGCAATTTCAAGCTCAAGCTGGAAGAAAGATCCGGCGATTTTGCTCTTCAGGCGTTTCGGGATTCAGGCGTTACTGTAGCCTTCGGGCTTGAACAGCTTCACACATAGGCAGTCGACACGTTGAGCTACCACAGAGTGCACTAGATGTGCCTGGTGTCGATCCCCCCCCCCCCCCCCCCCCCCGAGCCTAGCACCGAACTCCCCGAAGTAACCCTTCGGCCAAAGCTTGCGTGTCTTGGTCCTATTGGTCTTTTGCTCAGGACTACAGGGAGTTTCTGTGCTCAAGAGCTGACAGCACGTGCACGGCCTTGACTCGGACCCTCTCGACCAATGCATTCGAAGCGTGTAAGACTCCACGTGCATCAGGAGTCCCCAGCCAACATGAGAGTAGGCAGCGTATCTTGACGATGGAGGGATCGAAGCCAGACTCTACCAGAGACCCTGGGCCTGAAGCCATACCCTCACAAAACAATGTCTAGAACAACACCTGCCAACACTCCTGCAGACAATGCAGCTCTCGGGCTGGAGCCCGAACCCTCAGGATGTCAAAAAGCTTCATAGGCCTGAAGTCACAAGATTCAACTGCAGGCCGGCTTCGGCACTTACGTCGTCAGGCCTCACGGACTTTCTTGAGGCAAGGCGCAGGTTCACACTCAGGGCGGTGAATCCGAAAAGGACGCCCGCCGTCTGAGCCTATGGATGCAATCGAATCTCGAACTTTTAACCATTACAGCTGACTGAGGGGGCGCAGTGTGTCTGCATTGCTATGTCCAATGTCGTGACTATGAATGCTGCCGTCCTGCTTGCCCTCAAAGCAATGTAATCAGAAACTACCGAAAAAGCAAACCAGACAACTGAGCTATGCCTTCGTCGCTCTGCAGGTGATCACCTCCGGCAGGTCGACGACACTGACCTTTGAACGCAGTCGAACCCTGGTGAAAAGGCTAGGTCGGTTCACGTTCAGGGTTTCGTACTCAAGGGCTTGAGGGGAAAAGGCTTTGTGTGCGCAGACAGTTTGGGAAAAGGCTGCATGTTGGGGCCCCCTTGCAAACCCGTTTATACTCGGTCAAGCGAAAGGCTTCAAGTGCTTCAACAAGTCAAGGTGAGGTCCAGGGCTCGGGAAAATTTCTCGCACGGGAGCTTGCAGTTTACAGTCCAAGGTCTAAGCTTCAAGCACGGAGGTGTTTCCTGGCTTCTGGTTCTCAGACTTGCTTGAGAGGAGCTGAAAGTGCAACAGATGGAAGATAAATTGAATATGACCCACCCGACTCACCCGAACCCCTTCCGACACAAGACTCTTGGACACTGAGCTAGAAAGGCTACCGCAGATACCAGCCGGCCCGCCGCTATGGCCAGTCCATAGATGTCTGCTGGGAGATCACGATAGGTCTTGCCAACCTGCCCAAACGAAAAAGGATTTAAGTTTGGCTGCTATCCCAAAGCCAACAAAATCCAGGTGCACTCGGGCTTCGTTCCCACCTTGTGCAGCTTCCGGAGATCAGTGTCCACGGGCACGTACTCCACTGATGGGATGATAGTCGAGGCAGCCATGGCTGCAGGCAAGCGATGCAAGCTACAAGACAGCAAAAATATCTGTCTCCAGTTTACAATCCTTCTCTTGAAGGCTAGCTCGCGAAGAAGCAGAAACTGTTCCAACACCGACTGCTCGTCTTGAACAAGGAACCCTGGAACCGCAGTTCCCAGTACAGGTGATCTGGAGGGTGAGGTGGATGTGAAGCTGTGGTCAACAGCTTTGGAAGAAAACGTACTTAGCCTACCGACCAGGAGTTTGCTAAACCTGGTCCCCAAACAGAGATTAAGGACTATCGTTTGACTGAGTGCCTCACATCTCCATCTAAGCTCAAGAAGCCACGCTTCAAGATTGCTTCTTCAATTCTGAGCCCCCTTTCCCCTGGCCAGCGAATTCTCGGGCAAATCGAACACTCTTGAGTGGCAAGGTCGAGTCAGGACAAGGTAGATTCAAGCGGTTCAAGTAGCTGGATCAGTTGATGAAGCTTAATATGTGCAAGGGTGAGGCTGGATTTTCATCCGTGATAGGTATTGCGTTGCGGTACTTCTAATCCGCTCACCCAGCACTCTCCCGTTCGCACTCACACCTTGTCACGCTGCGCCAAGATGTTGATAAAACTGCTGTTGCTCACTGATCCACGTCTAAACTGCCTTTCTCGTTTCGTTCAATTTCACTCAACTTCCATCATCCAGGATCTGTGGAGGTTGAAGCTTTGGCCCGAACTGCCCGAACTGCTTCTGTCTTTTGGACGCATAGCTGACCCCGCCCTTTTGTTTTGTCATGCGGTGGCCCTCACTCCAAACCTTATGCGCTGCATCCTGTGCTCCAATCCCTCGCAGCCTTAAATCCTAGAGTCCTAGAGTCCTAGAGCTCCAAACAAATCCACAACACCTCGTCTCGATGAACCACCAGTTCGACCCGGAACCCTTCATCCCGAACCCTCACATTCCAAGCTGGGCTCCACACTTTCAGCCCATCCACCCCGGAACATCGCGCGGAAGTACTCGGATCGGAGTTGCCTGTGAATCCAGCACCGTCATGACTCTCAACGTCATCGTCGTCGTCTACATCACCATCGACGTCATCATTACTGCCCACTCGCTGACTCTACAGCTTGCTACTTACTGCTTACCATATGCTACTTCATACAAGCTTCTTGGAGCTTCTTGCTGCTGTGCGTTACCACTGTATCCCACTACTTACGACTACGATTACGACTACGACTACGACTACGACTACGACTACGACTACGACTACGACTCCTGCGGCTCCTGCTCCTCCTGCTCCTCCTGCTCCTCCTGCTCCTCCGGCTCCTCCTCCACCTCCTCCTGCTCCTTCCTGCTCCTTCCTGCCCCCCCTCCTTGCTGCTCCTCCTCCTCCTCCTCCTCCTCCTGCTCCTGCTCCTGCTCCGGCTCCGGCTCCGGCTCCGGCTCCGGCTCCTGCTCCCGCTCCTCCTGCTCCTCCTGCTCCTCCTCCTCCTTTTCCAGACCAACGTGCATGAACAGCAGTATCAGAGAAGCCGTGATCGAGAGATGCTATACAAGCGAGGAAAAACGGTTCAACAGGTAAGAGGAGAGACGGAGGTAGCAGCACATGGTCATAGTACTGTCGCTGGGAACCCAGCAGCAGCGTGGCAAGTCCGCCATCTAGTGGCCACAGGCCCACCTCCTGGACAGATCGTCCCCCAGAAGCACTCACAACAGTCCCTGCACAAACCTATGACCATCGTCGAAGAGAACGAAGCCATTATTAAACACGCAGGGTAGCGTTAAGAAAGTATTGAGCTCCTGCAAAATCTGATGCCCAAGCTTCCAAACCGAAATCTGTTCACATCGGCATTTTTCCAGGCGAGCCGGCCTCATCGTCATCTTTGAACCTCAGAGTGGGCTTGAAAGACACCCAGCATCACTTGGCGATTGGGTCGAGTACAAGCTTGACGAGGAAGGGGGGAGTTAAGAAAACTTTCTGGTTGTCCAACCATGAGGGGGTTGCACACAGGAGTCGGGCACGCGAAGTTGGACCTTTGGGCTACATTAGAGAGTGGATGAATTAGATGATAGCACGCATAAGCGATGCAAGCAGAACAGCTGAAACAGTTTGTTCGATATGCTTGCTCTTGAAATAAGCCCACTGAAGCCCCAACAGCTGATGGCAAATGGATGTTATGATATCACCACAACAAACCTTGTGCTAAGACTGCACAAGGACACGGTATGCCCTAGTCTTTGGTGATCATGCATGTTGCGAGGCTTGGCACGCATTGGTTTTGGTCTGAGCGAGGGAAGCCGCTCCGGAAATGCCGGAGTGGAACCCCCTCCGGAAATCCGCTCCGGAACCTGCTCCGGAACCTTCTCCGGATCCTGCTCCGGAACCCGCTCCGGAACCTTCCAGAACCCGCCCGGAATCACTCCAGAACCCACTCACGAACCGCTCCGGAACCACTCTGCAGAACGGAACCCCACTCCGGAATGCAGAGCCTGCTGCGGAAAAGCTTTGAAGTTGACTTGAAGGCCCTTCGTACGAGCAGCCAGCAGGGCGTCCTGAAGACCTTGACACGGCTAAGAT